CAATCTACAGCCCCACCTGCAGACCGAGTGGTGTGAAATTGTCTTATTAATGTGAACAAAAGAAATTTCTCTTCCTTCTTCTTCTCAAACTATTGTATACTTAACTATTTCAGTCTTTACTTCTCTCTACTCTTCTAATCTTCCTCCGCCTCTTAACCCCGAAAAGCCCTAGAAGTAGAAGACCTCGTCATATCTCACAATGGCACCTAAGAAGAAGGAGGGTCTCGCCTCCGTTCTCAAAAGCCAAAGCCAGCCAAGTCCTGTAGCTGGAATAATGATAAAATATAAGGTAGAGCAATTAAATGCAAATGAAGAAAGAAAGCCAACAGCATTCAGCTGTTTGACAAGGCCACCTAACAAGCTGCAATCCAAGGCTCAAAGACAAATGGAGAGTTAAAGAAATACTCAAACACAAACAAAGCCTATTACTCCTCAATTCGATTCTAAATCTTTAAAAACCACCCTGTAAGTTTTATGTTTCTTGAAGGAAATGAAGAGGAAGATGAATCTATTTATGGTTAGTTGCTGGCGGGAGGATGCTTCAAAAGTTCATAGTATTTGAAACAAAATTGTCTAACTTAAAACCAAAATCCTGTTTTCAGTTTTGACTGGAGAGAGAAGATGGCATGAAGTTAAGAGTATGGAAAAGTTTTACCTTTTCTTAAACAGTGATTTTAGGAGCTTCTTGAATTGCAGAAAATCTATCTGTCAAAAGTCCAACAGAAAAAAGGAAAAACAAAAAAAAAAAGAGGAAGGAGAAGAAGACAAGCAGAAGAACATATTCGGTATATACTGCAAACTAACTAATTGAAGATGAACCCTTCAAAGCACGGAACTGATTTATACAAAAAGTAATACTATATTGGAGACAGATTAACGACTGAAACGTCCTATGCAGAATCGATGTTGGAGCTTTAGAGAGGTTTGAGCAACTCTGGATGTCGAATTCTGAATTTTGACGACCACCTGAAACTTCATTTTACGCCATTTTTTGTCTAACCAGGGTAAGGTTCGTTTGGGTTACACAGCATTTTGGATTTAAAAAATTAGGGATAATTTCACAAACCTCCCTTGAGATTTATGACAATTTCACTCGGCTCCCCTCAAGTTTTACAAATTACAATAACCTCCCTTATCACAATAAAATGACTATAATGACCTTCACTTAATAAATAATTTATAGTATAATGAAATGAAATTAAGAGAAAAAGGAAAAAGAAACCTGACCTCTTCGACTATTTTATTTATAAGTTACAGCTAACAACGATTCTCTCTCACTTACTATTATTCGATTCTCATCCATCAACCACTTTCTCCTATAACTCGCTCTCAAATTACCACCAACTATTGGCTATAATTGCAGCCAATCACACTACAAGTGACTCCTCAAACTTTATTATATATTCCTATTCCTCTTTTCTTCTATTTGGAATTGCAAAATCGCAAGTTTAATTGAAAGATTAGATTTTATGATTGAAGTAAAATCCGATTTCATGGTCAAATTAAAGGGAGATGAAAAGACACACAATAATAATGGAACAAATAATGCAATCATTGGCTAAAAGAAGAAGATGGACTGAAATTGATAAATTTGCTAATTTGTCTATCATCTATCCAAAAATTTTTTTAAGATGTTAATAAATACATTTATATTTCTTTTTATGCTTGATAACTATTGGTTGTGGTTTAGCTACGGAGATAGAGCTTTTTCTCTGTATTTAAAACGTTAACATGTTTGAAGATTTAATGGTAGGTTAAATTATTTTGTTTCGAGAGGTGTGGACATTAGGTTTGAAATTTGGAGTGTGATTAGTTATAAATAGAATTTTGATTTTTGGCAAAATGAATTTCTTGAAGATCTCTATAGTCATAATGATGCATTTCCTTTTCTTAAACTTGATTAATCTCATCCATGCCTAAATCTCCCCCAAGGATTTTTGTCAAGGTCATAATGTAGCTGATGTAGTAGGAGTTAAGCCACCTATATGGAAACAAACCATGGCATCCTATGTTGAAGATTATGCAAACATAAGGGCAATTGATTGTGAGTTTGACCGTTTCATGGAACCATATGGTGAGAATATTTTTGAAGAATGGAATGAATCTTCAGAATTGAACGCATGCTTTGGGAGAAGCAATTTTATGACTATGATGACGGAATTGCTTGGGTTTAGAATTTGGAATTAGACTATTTGTTAGGCTAGTTTGTTATTACAGCGAGTTTGGTTGAAATATGAAAGAAAGCAATTGGCAAAATAAATTTTGTTTTATTTTTGTACAAAAAGGGTAGTTTAGGATTTTTGGGCCTATATTATTATATAAATAGTAAAAGCAAGGGAGGTAAGTGTAATTTAATATACCTAAGGGGAGGTCTTTGCAATTGTCAGAAACCCAGGAGAGGTTTCTGAGATTATCCCAAAAAATTATACAAGGATGATGTGGAAACTTATGCACCACTGGGTCCATGTGTGGGGTCGCAGACCAGGTCCATCCAAGTGTTGGCATGCCCCCATCAATTGGCTTCCGAAGGAATAACCAAATAGTCCAATTGGAACAACCATGAACTAGGAAAATAAGAAGACAGAATGGTAAGACATTATAGAAATCTGGGAACGGCTTCATGACTGTGGCAGTGAATCCGATCATATATTCTTTCTGGAAGCCAAAAAGCTGTAAGAGTAGTATCAAACACGTCTCAAGATTGTCATTTTCATCTCCACCTTCTCAGTGAAATTTGTATAATACAAATATCTGCATTATTATGTACTTGTGCATCCATTACATCAACAAGTCGGGCGGTAATCAAAGACAAGACAAGAGAAGAACAAGTACAAGAAAGAGTTTCCGGCCAAAAACATCATCGAGTTTGAGTTGTCACTTCTTGTCTAAAATAATTTCGTGTTTTTGTGAGTTACTACTTAGTAGTCGAAGTGCGATAATAACTGTTGATAAAAGAAAAACATTTAACATCTTTTTTCTGTACATTGGCAGCCGTCATATACACAGGCAGAAGGCAAAGAAAAGAGAAGAGACAAACAAGTAGGAGGAAAATGTTTCTAGCCAAAACGACGTTTGAGTCGTTAGTTCTTACGTAAAACAATTTTGTGTTTTTGAGGGTTACTAGTAGTTAAAGTACAAGAATATATAGACTGTTCAAAAAAAAAAAACAAACATTAATCATCATTTTTCTATGCATTGGTACCCGTCATATCTATACAGTCATCCTCTCCATAACTCATCCATATCTTGAGTGTGGGAATGGAAAATGAAAACACGGACAATCGTCAAGTTTCACTAGTCCATGTCAAAGATAAGATAGTTACATCATACACGCTACATTTTATTACTGTTCTTGTTATGGCTATCAAATATAAGATGGAACATCGTACCATATTGTAGAATTATCGTATTATTGTTTGGATTAATCTTGTATATACTACTATCACCGTTAGATATATAATATATGTGTAAAATTTGAATTTGAAATTCAAATTTTGCTCGTATGTCATTCATCTGATCGTAATAGTGTATATACCGACAGTGTATATAAGATTTACTCTTATTGTTTTCAAAATATGGAGAAAAAAAAAAGAAGAATGAAATCATTATGCGGAAACAATTAACTCACAAAATTAGAACTAGGGTTCTTTCTATTTTGTCTTGTTAAAAAGCAGATTTATGAGTTTGTTTCATCTTACTAACACGCCTCTCAAGGCAAGAGAACTTCTTCTGTTTTCGTTTTTGGACAACAATCTCAATCAAAGTATACAAGGCTTTAAAATATACACGCTTTGCTTAAGAAAGGCTAAGGTTTTAACCTGTATGTTAACTCATTTATAAGCAACCTTCCCTCAGCTTTGAAGAGGCAAACTTTATTTATGAGAAAATGACTTCTAAAGTATCTCAAAGAAAATTCAAAGGTTGAATTTCTCTGACCATGCTGACAAGTGCCACCGAGTCCGAGAATAGCCGCCCGCGTGGAATGCGTATCTTGGCCATGTAAAATGACATTAGACCGACTTCTACTATGATTTTCTATCAGGAATGAACCGAACCACTCATCAATTCTTTCTTTTTCATGATACTGTTTCACAAGTACATTTGGCCACACCATCTTGCTCCGGTCCTTTTCTCATAGGCTTATGTGCTTCCTCAATAGATTGCCAGAAATTATATACCACAAATTTTAGTAATTGATGCTCGTTAAACAAGGATGAATTGGTTCGATACGCTATATAATGAGATAAATAGTAACTTGCACGTATTGAGCCGCCCCCCCCCCCCCGGTTGGAGTTTATTCATAGTTTGTAAGTAAAAACGCCCCCCCCCCTTTATTCATAGTTTTTTTTTCCCATTTCTCAAATTTTCCTAATAACCTTTTTCTTTAAACGGGATCAATAGTAGTTCTTCACTTATTCTCTTAATGACTCAAACCTATAACCTCTTGATTATAGGTGAAATATTTTTCCAACTAGACCACGTTTCACTATCGTAATAACTTCAATAACGTTAGCTTGGATATACACATGCATATGCCAAGATTCTAAGCACTTGGAAATTTGGTGCTTTAATTTACCACACAAATTGATTATGTATTGAATTTTTACAATACTTGATAAATATTTAAATGAAAATTTAGGTTCCATTTGGATTGTAATTTTCTTGGGTTTTTATTTTAAAAAAAATATACTGTAAAAATTTGGTGTATGGACGGTAGCAATTAGAGTGTTGGCACCAAAAAGAATAAATGGCTAGGGGAAGTGCGAAGTTGCATGCTCTCCAATTGCTATTGGACTACTCCTCTTTATTTGATGGTTCTTTTATCTTAATTTTTGACAAACAAATTTAAAGTGAGATGTGGTGCCTAGTTCTGGGCCTTTTTAGTGTATCTAATGCAAAACAAAACTTCTATTGGGCCTGCATCAATCTTGGCCCAATGAAGCCCACACGACCTCCGTTCGCCTATAAATTTCCTTTCCATCAGTTCAAAATTCAATCTTTACCGCCACCAACTCCTTCCTCTTACACACAGTCTCACACAAAAACACGCAGAGATGACGCATCAGAAAAATCAGTCGGTTGCAGATCGCCGAAAATCGATCTCCGATCGCCGTTTCAAGGTACGGCAGGTTAAAATTGCTAATGTAAAACTTAAATCTCTCTCTCTCTCTCGATCAATCTCCATTCATCGGATTGGAATTGTCGCTTTTAGTTTTGGAATTCTTTCAGTTGTTATTCAATTTCCTTGCAGAATGAGAAAAAGAGCTCAAGTTCCGAAAGTTTGGGTTTCTTTTCTGAATCACCAAAGGACTGGAATGATTTCGCTTCGATCATGGCGAAGTCGGACGAGAATCTTCTCAGTGAATCAGCTGAGGTTGTTCGAAAATCTTGCTTTTTCTGGCTACATTTCGTTTTGAGCTTTCAAGTGGTAAATGTTGATTTCACAATTGATTGTGTCTCTGACTGCAAAGTGATTTGATGAATGTAAAACAGCAGAGAAGGGAAAAAGAAAAGAATAAAAATGTTTTGATTCTGCTTGACAATCATTGTCGCTTGTATTGTTTACTTTTCTATTGCTCATCATCTTGGCGATTGGAAGGGAGATATTTATGGACTCTGAGAGGAAAATTCTGACAATACTTTGTTGGATTGTTTATGCAATTATGTACTTATATATTTCTAATTGCAAATGTAATATCAGTTTATTGTTAATTTTTCAAATGAAAAGCTCTATCAGTATTCATTAGAGCCTGGGGATCAAGTTTTGCCGAGAACCGCTGATTCGGAATCTCTGTATCTTTGTATTCTGTTTCTCTTTATTTTTTGTTTCTTTTTTATTTTATTTTTTCTGCTTGATCTGTCTCCCCGAAAAGTGATGTTATTTCTGCTGCTTTCAGAGGGAATTTTTGGTGATTAAATACTTGTGATTTGCTCTTATAACCATTTGAGTAGTTTGGAGTTCAAACACTTTGGATGCTTTTCAATTTTTCATGATGCAAATTTTCTTTAAAACAGCATTTCTGTGACTAATTTTCCCCCCTTAGATTCGTGTATTGCTACTTGATTCTACTGCATGGGGCTTTTTGATGGCTAGCGTGTTTTAGGAGACCTGAGAGAATATTTACTTGTTATTTAGAGCTTGCATAATTGCTGATGGAAGAGTTTTACGAGTTTAGAATTATTGAGCTGATTTAAAATGTTTTTCTAGTGCAGAATGGAATTGATTTATTGAGTCCAGACACTTCACTTGCGTTGGCCACTGTTGCTTCATCTGATCTCTCCCCTCTGTCATCAATAACCATGTCTGATGAGCACGAAGAAGCTACAGACACAACTGATCCATCTACAACTATGAATTCAGAAACAGGGAGCTTAACTAGTGTTGAGGCAGAGCTAGTAGTGAAACTTCTTAACAGAGCTATAAATTCAAGAGGCACGAACTTGAAAACTAAGAAGGTTTTGGATGCTTTGGTTAATCTCGTTGTTGAAGAGTTCATTCAGTTGCCTGAGGAGAAGGACAGCTTCAATGAACTCATGGCCAGAAAAGCCAATCTTGTTGTTCTGAGCTTCTTGCTGTGGACCATTGCTGTCTTTGCAGCTCTTTTCTTCTCTGGAAGCCAACGATCCTTCAGTGGAGCAATACCACCAACCTGAAGGATGCTTGCTGTTTGATTAACGGATAAAAATCAGCTTTTTCTGCAGTCTTTACTTCTCCCACTGGATGCAGGTGAAAACTGGATGTTCTTGGGTTTTGATATCTCTTTTACCTCTAGCTTGTGGCATTATAGCTACAGTAAGTTTGGAAGATTTGATAATTGTGTAAAAATCAGATCAAGCAAATTTTTGGATTTAGTTAGATTGCATTTCCTCTTACTGGTTTACTACACTGGATGCAACACATTTCTCTCCTGGATAAGTGTAACATGTGTCATCCTTAAGAGTTCTACATCGTTATTCTCGAATGTAAATGTGCTTCCTCGCAGAAAAGCTGTAAGTAAAGCCCCTATGCTGAAGGGTACACTTCACCATAAACAGATGTGTTACTTTGGGTTGAATATATGCTTGTTGCAGACATGAGTACTTTCAATTATGATGGTTACGAGATAGTTTTACACTCCTTTCCTTATTGTTTGTCTTTTTAATTATCACTTGACCTTGAATTCGTGTCCAAATTGAGACATGATTATCATACAACGAGAAAATACGAAAGGCAAATAAAACCAAATAGATCCATATGGCTGTCTACTGCATTTTGCATTTATTTGAACGGTCTTTGGCCTGCCTGGAACTCTGCTTTGCTTTATGATCAATCATTGTTTCACTAAAATTCTAAAGTATTAAAAATTCATCCTGTTGAATCCTCGGAGCCAAGGAAGAGACTTCGACCCTTTGACATAGGAAATGTCTGAGTCATACGTAATTCTCCTCTTGGAATGTAATTTCTCCCTTCTGTTGTGAACTGATTTTGCTCCTGTCTGTGCTAAGGAAATATCACCTTTGCTGAGAAAATGCAGAGTTTAGAAGGTTTGAGCATCTCAACGTAAGTTTTTATCAGCTATGACATGGCTTGAGGTAATTATTTCTTGGTCAATGAATATATCTGCTCTGAAGCTCTGGAAAATTTCCGTTGTTGGCCTTGTTAAAGGCTTCTAATTCTGTTCATTATAGCTTGCTTTCAGATGATTTCTTGAAGTCATTTAATAGATGGGAGATCATACTTGACCACGTTGCCTGACTGAGGGCTCAGAGCACATATTGTAGAATCAGCTGTGGCAGGATCTGAAAATTGTAACATGGCTTCATTGATGCTAGTTTACTAATTACTACTGTCTTTTCAAAAATCAATTTTTTTTTTGATCTATACTATTCCTCTTTTGCTGTAAGTTGATGCCGTAACTGTTTGCACTAATACTTTAGGTACAAATATAAATTATCCACCAGAGAAAGAAATTAGTTTGGTATATGATGGAGTTATTCGGGGCTACCAAATTTCACACTCTTAGTTATGGTAAAAAAGCTATAAAACTACAGATGATGCCCTGAAATTCTCTATTTTTGTGCTGCCAATTGATTTCAGTACAGCAGTAACAATTTCAGTGGAAAATGAAGAGATGAGTCTTGAAGAAACAGAGCCTCACTGGTCCCTATTTCATGGGGGTGGACTGTGAAGACAATTCCAGCATCACCTGGTGCACTGAGATCAATTCAGCCATTTCTAAACTCCAGTATGCCCTTGCTACTACTTTTTACAGTATCCATCTATTATTGGAAAAATTAATGATCAGATTTGACTGTTATTGCATTTTGTCCTTTTTCTCTTATTGTTAAGTTTTTTAATGCTTACTGGTAATCTTGTGTTTCGTTTTTTTAGGTTGATAGTCCAAAAACTGAATGTGTGCTTTTTAACCAACGGATCCAATAAGATTTACATAGAGAAGCTTCTCACAACTTCATTCATTATTGTTTAACCCCTCTTATGTTCTGCTTCAAATTCATTGCCAAGAAATGCCAATTTTGAAAACACTCTCCCATATACGAAAGAAGCAAAAGTAGCAATTAATCTAGACATGGAAGGTAGAGAAGATTAACCCCAAAAAATGAAGAGATACGTGTGACGTCTAATAGTAGTAAATCCTTAGTGAGTTAATGCTGGCAAAAAACCAGATACTCTGTAAGTTCCCAAACCTCTCACTTGCATGATGCACCACAATACCAGCAAGCAGAGGGGTCCAGTAATTGCCCAAGTAAACACCATGTAAAAATGATTCAGAGTACCTATAAAAAGCATATTGATCAAGCCAATCTTCCTACGCAATTGCAAAACAATCGAAGTAGGAGAATTGCTATATGTTTGTAGTACTTTTTTTTTTTTGGTTTTGGCTAACAGTTGCCCAAGTAGCACTCATTAAGAAGGTCTTATGCATTAATTTTTAAACAAAAGTAAAAAATAATTTTAAAAACTTTTACATACGAGAGATGCATTAAATGTCACAGTGTGTATTCACGTAATAAGTTAGATATGATTTTAGATACACTATTGAACTGTTAGAAAAGTCCTTTTTTTTTTTTTTTTTGTAAATTTATCCACTTCAATGTTACACCTCGAACTATTACAATGAACTCGTAAATAATGGGATAAATCACAGGAGAATTGGATTAACTTTACAATTGCTAGACTTAAAACTTCTAATTTTTTATGCTTCATTCGTTGATTATCTCAATGCTAAACCAAGTCCTCAATGACTTTTAATTTACCATATCCACTGTATTCGTATGGTTTCTTGAAAAACTGTTTTAAGTGGGTACAAGATCAATGAAGTTAAAATTATTCTATTAGCAGATATGAATGTGATACAAAAAATAGGACAGCACCCACAGTCTAATCAACATTGGTCTTGTTGCTGGTTTTCTCTAGAAATGGCAAGGAATTAGGTAGTACTTTGTTTCCTAGGGGCGAGTATCGGAATATCAGAAAATGGAGAGGGACCATCTGAATCAAAATGGATTAAGCTAAAGAAAATATATGCCCACCACTTAAAGACCATTGAATATTTAGAGGAGAATTTGTGGTACATATGAATCAAATGCCTTTTTCCTTATATCATTCAAACGATTGGACTAATAGCAATCTCATTTAACTTGGATACTTCTTGTTGGATATTTTAAAATGTCATAGGGTAACATTTAAGAGATATTTTAGCAATTTTCACATATGGTACATATTATTGTTGACTTTTCCAATGTAAGTCTTGATCATTTCCATGCAGCAAATCCTGGCTCCTGGGATTTTTAAAGCTTGAAGACTCAATCTCGTAAAAGTTTTTGTAAGTCCATCTCTATGTGAAATTAAAACAAGGGGCAATTAATAAGAGGAAGAAAATGTTGAGACATCCTCAAATAAAACTTTTTTTTTTTTTTTGGAGAAATCAAATAGTAAAACTTTTCAATGGATAGGATTTGTGGTAGACATTTAAAAATGAGAATGAGGAGGACTTCAAACAATAGCACTATTTATGCATATGAATTTCGATTGTTAAAAAAAAAAAAAAAAAAAAGGTGTCACTCTGGATTATCCGTGGACCTTCTTTGATATTATAGTACATAAGTTTCCTATTGTTAGTGGAGAAAGATCCATTTAGAATTGTTGAAATTGATATGCATATTTGTCAAAAACTTCAAAGTTGTTAATTCCAGACCACTAATTATATTATAGCACGTAAGTTTCCTATTGTTAGTGGAAAAACATCCATTTAGAATTCTTGAAAACTGATAGGTATATTATTGTTCTTTCTGAGCATGTCATATTGTCATCTTGTACAGATTTCAAATTCCTATTCTACAAAGAAGAAACGATAAGCATACATGTTTCTTCTCATTGTGGATGAGTTTAGTGGGATAATCCTATATTTGTTGTTTAATGATGGCATTTGGCTAATTATCCCTGCACCATAAATAAATCGAAGTTCAAATGCTAAATATCCAAAAAAAAAAAAAATTCAAATGCTAAAGAAAGACTACTAATATGGGAAGATGTTTGTAATTGAAATTTGAAAGTAATTTTGATATAATAAGGATTGATAACTTCGCCCGTGAAGACCTAGAAAGGATTAATAACGCAAAACAAGTATTCTATTATGAGAGACAAAATTCAAGAAATTGTCAAAAACAATGGAATGAATGGCATATTCTACTTTTTATGGTCTTTGGATTGGGATCATTTCTTTCCATACAAAATGACAAACAAAACTAGGAACACTACATAGAGCAAAAAATAAAATAGTAAAAAAAATTTTTTTTTTGATGCACACACAAACATTGACCAAATCGAAGATGTACTATTGTTCCTGCAAACGCATTACACAGCAATACAGAACCATCTAATCAAGTATCAACTTTTTTGCCCGATTGACCTTGTCTTAATTAAGGCCCTGTTTGGATTGCATTTTCCGTCATTTTTTATGAAAAAATTACTGTAGCGATTTGATGTATGTGAGGGAAAAAAATAATAGGGAAATGTGATCACGGAAAACGACGTAATTTTCTGGCAGAAAATGGCAATCCAAATAGGGCCTAAACTAGTAGTCTATACCATTTTTTTTTTGGTCGATTTGATAGTTTCCTACATGGAGAGAAGAGAGTCTGAAGAGGTCTTGAGATAATTCAAATAAAATTGAATAATTATCGAACCAAACGGGTGTATTATACACCCGTATGAATTTTTTAGAGAATATCACATTTAATTATGATAAATTGGTGGACTAATGCATTGGTGTTTGCTGGTGGTTAACTAGTAGTCTATATTACGAGCCTTTTGGACTCTCCAAATTCCCTTCTCGTTAGTTCATTGTCCTGACGAAGAAATTGAAACAATGGCACATTGGCGCTGCCGGCCTATGCTTCCTAAACTAAGCTCTAATCGATACCAACTAAAATATAGACTTTCTTTGTCATGCCTCTTATTGATATAAATTTGCATTAACACAATCCAACTTCTTAGCCGAACCTTTTCACCCACCAAAAAGTTACATTCCCTCTTCAGTTTTTCACTCTCAAACTGCTTTATCACCTTGGATAATAAACTTTTTGGAGGAGCAAAACAATGAAGAACAAGTTTGCCCTTTGTTTTCGACCTGTTGTACTCGAAACAGAAGAACCTGATCCTGATGAGCATGATCACAACAGTGTTATCGATGATGTTACAGTTTCTAAGGCTATCATCGTTGCAAAAGCACAGAAGAAGAAAAATAGAATGATACCACAAGTAATGAGCCCTTCACCCTCGGATGGTAATGGTGGAAATCTTCGAGTTCCTTGTTTTCCTCTCCCTAAAACACACTCAAGAAAAACCCTCCCAGGAGTTCTCAAAACCATCTTATATGAAACCTCACCTGTAAGTTTATACAAAGAAAAAATTTTCTAGCCATTCTGTTTTTCTTTCCAATATTTTTGTGATCACGGTTTTTAATTTTTTTTTTCTTTATTTTCTGCAGAGAATGAGGGTCCAAAATGGAAAAATTCGTCAACTGACACCCCCAGAAAAGACTGATGATCATGTAGAAGAAAGCATTAGTCCTTCGGTGAGAGTGGATGATGATAAACGGGTGAAATTCAAGAAAGTGAAAGAGGCTAATATTTCTGAAGAAAACGAAATTATTTCAAGAATTTCTTCATCATCTTCTTTTTCGTCTTCAAGTACGGTAAGTTCATCATCTAATCAATCACCAACAGACTTCAGATCACTATCCATGAAAAGGGCCTTAGCAAGATCAAGGTCCAATTCATTTGATCAGAAGAAAAGAGCAAAGACTTCTAAGCCAAATGACAAAACATTGGATTTCTCCTCTTCAGATGGTAGTAAAGATAAGGGCTTAGTTTTTTATTGGATGGTTTTGTCCCTATTAGCTACCATCATATGGGGCAAGATTTTTGCAATCCCTTTGGCCTCATTGTGGCTGTACTCTATTCCTCGCCGGAGAAGTGGGATGGAACAAAGGCTGCCGGAAAATAAGGCCGGGAAGTTGCCGGAGATAGAGCCACCTAATTCTAGGGAATATAAGAAGAAAATCATAATGGAAGGCTTGCTTGAGAGGAAGCCACTGCAGCAGAAAGCATTAAATTTTTGACGTGAAAGGAAAATTAACTTTTTGCGTGTATAAATACTTTGATGTCGTCCCCTGTCATTGAAAGCACTTGAGATGTTCAAACTTCAAAGTTAGCAATCTCTCTTTTCCATTTCCATGTTGACGATTTTGGGAGGAGTGCATCAAAGAAATATGGTAATGTTCTCCTTGTCTTACATTAAATTGATCCTTGTAATAGGAATGATGATTCATACTTACTAG